TACCTTTAGCATCCACCGTCCCCAGTCAGTATAACCCATCTTATGTGCCAGGAAGGGACATCAGTAAGCAGGTAGGGGCTGGGGAGATGGCTCAGTAGAGTAAGTGCTGCCCTGGCAAGCACAAGGGCCTGAGTTCAATCCCCAGTTCTGCCAAAAAAATAAAAAATAAAAAATAAGCAGGTCTGCGGCTGCTGTCATCATAGGTGGGGAGCCGGCAACACCTGATGCCTTTATGCACATTAGTAGGTTACCTAGCCTGGACTCTATGAGCTTCTCGTCCCTTCCCTCCTAAGGAAGACTTAGGCCAAGACCCGGATCCTGTTGGAATACAGTGAAGTCCTATAGCGAAGGTTAAGCTTGGGTAAATGGATGCACCTTGAGACCTTTCTCTGAAGGGAAATAAATCGGACACACGTGTAAATACCACATTGTTTCTCTGGTGTGAGAAAAAAGTGTAAATAACACAAAAGTATAAGTAAGGACCAAAGTGTGTATTAGGTACTGTGAAATAGGAAAAAAATATTCAAGTGGGAAGAGGGCCAAGGGAGTGGGGAAGGGGAAAGGAGAGAAGGGAAAAGGAAAAAAAAAAAAAAGTGGAAGGGGCTGGGGAGATGGCTTAGTAGAATAAGCACTTGCCTGGTAAGCGCAAGGGTCTGAGTTCAATCCCCGGTTCTGCAAAAAAAACAAAAAAAAAAAGAAAGAAAGAAAGAAAAAGAAAAGACAGAAATGGAAACAAAGCTTTTGTACATGGGGAGGGAAGAGGGGTTGAAGGGAAGGGAAGGGAATGGGGCAAAAAAGAGCAAGTTATGTATAGGTGCAAATTAGCTATGATGAATGTGATCCTTATGTATATCTGAAACGTACCAATAGAAAAAAAGCGATACAGTTGAGTGGATGGACTGGCTAGGCAGGACCCATTCCATGCCTGCCCTTCTCTTAACTTTTGAAACCTGTCGCCTTTCCTCACACTACTCACAGACCCTGCCCATGGACAGTAGGAAAGAAGTGTCCCTGCGTGTTTTTTAGAAGGCTCAGAGCCAGGCTGTGCACTGTCAAGGACTCTCTAGAGAGTGGACATGATTCTTCCAAGGACTTGCACACTTGCCCAGACAAAGGACAGGCTGGACCAAGTGCGGGATGGGGATGACATGGACCCCAAGGTGCGCCGAGGCCTACCTCCAGATGAGCACTGCAGTTGTTTTGTCCTCTGAATAGCAGCTGGAGCTAGTTTCAGCCTTGC